ATGCAAATTTATACCGTACAGTTCTGTAAGTCAGAAGTCTCATTTGGCTAAAATTAAAGTGTCATCGCCCTGGCCGGTTTGGCTCAGCGGTTAGAGCGTCGGCCTGAGGTCCACAGACACCCAGGGTTCTGTTCCCGCTAAGGGCACGTACCTCAGCTGCAGTTTGTCCCCGGCCCTGGTTGGGTCGTGTGGGTGTGGGTGGTGGCCACTCCATGTATCCCTTTCACGTGGATGTTTCTCTCTCTCTCTTCCTCTCTCTCCCTCCCGCTCTATCTGAATAAAAAAATGGAAAAATGTCCTCGGGTGAGGATTAAAAAACACACCCACAAAAACTTAAAAAAATAAATAAATAAAGTGTCATCAAACCTTCTGAAGGCTCTAGGGGAGAATTTCTTTTACTTTGCCTTTCCCGCTGACTAGAGGCTGCCTGCATTTCTGGGCTAGTCATCCCCTTCTCCATCTTTAAAGCCAGCAGTTTAGCATCTTGAAATTTCTGCATTTGATCTACTTCTGTTGTCACACCCCCTCCTTTCCTCAGATCCTCTTGCCTCTCTTTTAATTTTTTTTTTTAATCCTCACCCAAGGACATTTTTGCATTTATCTTCAGATAGAGTGGGAAGGAGAGAGGGAGGAAGAGAGAGAGAGAGAAACATTTATGTGAGAGAGACACATGGACTGGCTGCCACCCACACAACCCCAACTGGGACCTGGGACAAACTGCAACCCAGGTATGGGCCTTTAGCAGGAACCAAACCCGGGGATTTTCTGGTCAAGGCTCTAACCCCTGAGCCAAACTGGCCAGGGCTTGCCTCCCTTTTATAAGGACCTTTGTGATTACACTGGGACTACTCAAATAATCAGGATAATCTCCCATCTCAAGATTCTTAATTTAGTCAAATCTGCAAAGTCTTTTTGCCATGTAAAATAACACATTCACAGGTTCTGGGAATTAGAACATCTTAGGGATGGCATTATTCAGCCTACCACATAAGTTTCTTATTACCTTGTTTTTAATTTATTTCAACTTGCTTTCCAAGCATAATGAAAGTTACATTTAACTGTAAATTCACTCACAGTGAGAAATTTTAAAAAATTTCTAAATGGCATTATCAAAGTATGTGTCCAAGAAATAATTTTATTAAGAATATACTTTAAATTGTTCAATTAAAGTATTTTCAATACTTTAATAATTAATAAAACCACTTCAGATTTTATACCAATAACATCACTTACAATTATGTTTTCCCAAATCATTTGAAGCTTAACCATAGTCTCTGTATAATCTATTTTGTGGATTAAGTTTGGAACAAGATGTCATTATATATTGCAGATTCATGTACTCTCCATGGCATCCCCAACCTGTCTTGAATATGCATTATAAACCACAGGTTGTATGGACACAGATATGGATACAATGTACATGGATGGCCTCCATGAATCGCATTCAATGATCTATGCTTTGGCAAGAGCATGCATTACTAAACAATTTTTTTCCATTGTTCATGACTAATTATTTGAGAAATCTGTTTCTGTAAGATTTTTTTTTTTTTCTGGAAAGGTGAATATGTCCTTTGTACCCAGTATATGTCAAAGTTGGTTTATTTAAGAGTCCTTAGAGCAAAAAGATCTTGTCAAAAGAGACTGCTCCTCAGACAAGTGTCCAAGTTCTTTCAGAGAAGCTTAAAGTAGAATGAAAGAAAAAGAAATCATTTAACTTTCTAGGAGAGGACTACTAATGCTAAATTGATATGAATTATTAATTTGGAAACAACTCATTTTGTGTGTGTGTGTGTGTGTGTGTATGTGCGCATGTATGTGCCATATTTCTTTCTTTTTTTTTTTTATCCTCACCCGAGGACATTTTTCCTTTTTTTTTTTTTTTTGTTCAGACAGAATGGGAGGGAGAGAGAGAAACATCGATGTGAAAGGGACACATCGAGTGGCTGCCACCTGCACAACCCAAACAGGGCCGGGGACAAACTGCAACCAAGGTGCATGCCCTTAGCGGGAACCGAACCCAGGTCTCTCAGTACCGCAGGCTGATGCTTTAACTGCTGAGCTAAACCAGCCAGGGTGCGTGTGCCATATTTCAAATGAAAGATAATTGGGAAGGAGGGGATTATTAAAAAGAGTTCAAATTTTTCTCATTTCTTTCTAAATCCACTTCAAGCCCCTAAATTTTTTTTTTTAATGAAGAATTAGGAAATGTACTGCCTTTCATGCAACTTTTTTTCCAAAAGAGTTTCTATCAAAAGTTAAAATTAACATCTCCTGACTAAGCATTTCCACTGCTAATAGTCTCTACTGAAAACATTTCCACAGGTAGGCAAAGATAAATGTACATCAATAGGAGACTGGTTGGAGAGGGGAAAAAAAAGTTACTACAATACTACAAGATGAAACTCTATGCTGACTTATTTATGCTTATTTTAGTAATGATACAGTAAAAAAAATAAAAATAAAAGATACACCCATTCACTGGAATCCTGATAAAAGAATGAGGCTAATTTGGAAATATGTGCAAGATATACTGTCAGGTGAAAAACATAAGTGTAGAGTAGAATGTAGGCTTTAATGTAATCTGTGTATTCTTTTAACAAATGGCAATTATATAAAAATAAGGTACAATTACATAGGCAATTTCTGAAATGATACTGAAGCAACAGTGAACAGAGAGGAAATGTTATTGTTGACTAAAGGAAATGGAAATGTGGGCTGGAGAAAACATGAACTTTATACTAAACTATCATATATTACTTTTATAATAAAGAATGTATCTTCAAAAATACACAATAAAAATAAATATATATGGACAACCTGTAACTTAGCAAAATATTTCATATATTTCCAGACAGAACAATGATGGTAAAATTAAGATATTTAACATCATTTGAAATAAATACACAGTTAGCTAATCTTAAGTAAATCTGTATTTTTATTTATGTTTTGTCATGTCTTTGCAATAACTCAAAAAATATACTTACTGGGTACTATTTAAAAATTATTTCCTTTCTTTGAGAAATCCATCTAATAATACATTTTACTTTAAATTAAGTGAAAAGATAAATAATTTGAAGACCATTAGAAATAAAAACTTAGTGTTAGACAATTTTCCCTAACTCATTCGAAGTTTTGAAATGGAGACTGCAATCTCTGGAGATTTTGGTTATGCTAAGGGCACATCTGCTGGAAATCAAGACAGCTTTGAAATTTTGTCATTTCCAAGAAAAAATCTAAGTATTGTATGATGATTTGCATAATCCCTAAATTTCTTTTTATGAGGATGAGAAGCTAAATTTCCATACTCTAATTCAGTCCTCCACCGTTTTAGGTATAAATTGGATACCAATATATGATACATTTTTAAAAATCCCTTTTACTGCAATGCAATTTAGTGTGCAAATTATTTAGATTTGCTCAAGTTTGGATGTCTTTTTTTCCTTCATGTTCTGTTTCAAATCCGGTGTTAAAATAAATGAAAACTTTAAATTTATGAAGTAGACAATTTAAACTTCAAAATTACACCACAACACGATCTATATTTATTTGGGGAATATTTTCTTTACTCTAGGGGGGTGGGTAACCCTACTGCTAAACATGATTATGTATCCCTGTACCTCCCACAGTAACTGGCATTAGTATTTGATTATATTTGTGGATTGTATGGTTTCCATACACGATGTAAACAATTAGTAACCTCCTTAGCCAAGTTTTCTACGTGGAACTAATTTTAACTATTTCATAAGAAATCAATTAGACTTTTTTTGGTTTATCTCTTATATCTTTTGACTTGTAATCCAAGGCTCTATCCATAAGGCCAAACCTGACCCCTGCTAAAAAACTTGGAAAGATAACAAGACTTACAGAGTTTACCCATAACTAGCGTTGATGTTTGCAGTATCATTCTGATGTCAGAGGGCTCACAGGGAGGCCAAGGGAGGCCTCGATCCAATGACAGTGTCCAGGTTCTGGTCGCTGAGCAGGAAAAAAATTCAAGAGTGAGACAGAAAGATTCAGTAAAGCACAGCAGATGTTTTAGGGTGACCGTACACCCTCATGAAGGAGGTGAGTGTGGGAGAACTCTGGAAGTGATGGCACCTCCCCCATGGGGTCTGGGTGGAGGTTTTTATTAGCTGTGGGCAAGGGGAGGGAGTGGGAGTGGCGGTGGTCTCTGACTGGGGAAGGGCGTGGTTGTCGTGCAGTTCATCTCAGTTCCTCCTCTCTGGACGGTGGCTGTCTGGAAGGCTGAACGGCCTCAAAACTAAGATGTAAGGTCAACGTGGCTCCTAACTGTGGCTAACTCTGGCTGAGATTGGTTTTTGTTTCTCCAAACTATTTCTTACCCCAAGGAATTGGGAGGGGGCCTCAGGGGACAGGTGTCTAGCCACAAGTCCTCAGTGCACTAAACTAGAAGGGAATGGTGGGTAGGCCTGGGGCCTCTGTTCCCTGTGCAACTTTTCTGCCTCAGTTCAATCAAAATATTTTCAAACCAACCACTTTTACTAAGCATATGCAATATGCAGACCACTTTAATGGATAATCAGAATTCCAAGGGATATAGGTGTAAATCAAGAAATTTCCTTTCCAGTAAGGAAGTGAGAACGATAAGACAATAACAATGGAAAAAAGCAAGGTAATGTATGGTGGAAGTCAGGCGTGACTTTATTGTACAGAAGAGTGTGACAGAGGAAAGAGGCTGTCCCAGCAGGCACCCAGCAACAAGTGAGATTTAATCCCGACTCTGGGAGGACCCGAGCTGTGCACTCCAGGCTATTATTCGAATCCAACTGGGAATTTACCGCTATTATTTTAAGATAAGTGGTGCTCTGCCCAGTAGAGAAGACAGGGAGAGCGGAGCCGAGCCCGCCCTGTCCACGCCCTAGTCTGGGGGCCGGCCTCCCCAGGAGCGGCCCTCTGCCCGCTCAGAGCTGGGGGCGGTCCACGAGGCCCCTCCCCTCGAGCGGCAGGACCGCCGCGCAGGCGCAGTCTCTTCTGGTGTAGACGCGGAGGCTCGGAGGGGCTGGGTGAGTTGGCGGTGTGGCGATGGGGTCGCAGTTTCTCGGTCTTAGTTTCCGCGATCCCGGCCCCAAATGGCGTGATGGGCCTGGGAGAGAGGTCCCCGACGCTCTCCCGTCTTCCTGATCCTTGGGGGCGCCAGGCGGTCACCTAGGGCCGCGTGATCGCGGCCAGGCGGGCCCGGCGTCCGGGTGGCGGCAGGAAGAGCCCGGGGAGCCCGGGGCCGAGTCCCCGCCTCACCTTGACCGAGGCGCGCGGCGGCTGGACACCCATCTGGCTTCCCTCCCGCGCTCTCTCCTCAACCACGCATTTCCTTTAAAGAAACTTGGGGTGTGCTCGTTAGTGCCCAGAGGCAGCGTTTCTGACCATGGGATTCTGGCAGCATCGTGCAGTATTAGAAGCCCGGGAGACAGATTGTCTGGGTCCGGATCCCCACCCACCACTTGCTGCCTTCGGGACCCCTGCGCATTACTTAACCTCTGTGTGTCTCAATGTCTTCAAGTGTGAAATGGGGGAAACAATGGTGGTTGTGGGGATTAAGTGGGCTTGTATCGTTGACGTGCATAGAACCCAGTGTGATGCCCAGTAAAACTATGTACTGTTCATTTTTTTGAGCCTGATATCAAAAAGGGAGAAATTGAAAAATAAACCTCTACAGTTAAGTAATTGCTAAACAGTGGGTTACTGTTCAAAATGATTTTGTATGTTTAGACGTATTGTAAATGTCAGAAAAACCACTGGAAATTGATTTGACATTGCCAAGTTAAATTCGAGTCCTCTTTTTTTTTGGGGGGTGGGGGGGGTCCTGTCTTTTACAGATTTTAGGTCCAATACCTGGTTCTATGACCAGTTTCCTATGGGCCTTTTTTCCTGGACTCTTTTTTAGTTATTTCTATCTCTTTTCAGGACATCAAATTAACATAGTTGGAGGTAAGTTTGTATGTTTTGGGGTAGAAAGATCACATTTGCCATCTGATTATGTCTCCTTCAGTAAAGTAGAAAAATAGATCATATTTTGAAGAGTAGGGAGATGGAAGCATTGGAGGTTTGAGAGAGTAAAAAAGGCTGTGTGAGGATAGGTAAGTTTACCAGAAGGTGTAATAGATAATGGGATGTCTTAATTCATTGGAGATTGTGTATGAATTTAGTGGACCCACTCTGCTTTCTTACGAGACTTTCTTCAGCCTGTTTGGATGCACACAAGGAGAAAGCGGTTAATTGGGAGGTGTGGGGTGGGGGGGATGTCATAGGATTGGGATTCTGTTAGAAGGGTGACGTACTCATTCAGGCTGTGCATAAATATTCTATTCCTCCTGGATACATGATAAGGCTGCACTCTTTGTACACGCCCTATCCCTCCCCACCATCTCTACTTGAAATTAGATGAGGCCACATGACTTGTTTGGGGCAGTAAAATATGGACAGACATGACAGCTTCACTTCCAAGTGAAGCTTAGAGGACCAGCACTCCTTCCCTGGCCGGTTTGGCTCAGCGGTTAGAGCGTCGGCCTGCGGTCCGGAGAGACCCGGGTTCGGTTCCCATTAAGGGCACGTACCTCGGTTGCAGTTTGTCCCTGGCCCTGGTTGGTCATGCGGGTGGCAACCACTCGATGTGTCCCTTTCACGTCGATGTTTCTCTCTCTCTCTCTCTTCCTCTCTCTCCCTCCCACTCTATCTGAACAAAAAATGAAAAATGTCCTCGGGTGAGGATAAAAAAAAAAAAAAAAAAAGAACCAGCACTCCCATTTGCCACGTCCCCTTTTCCCTGCCCTGCTATAGTGATCCTGAAAGTACTTGCCGAGATGCAGCCTCTTGTGAGTGATTTTGCAAGGTGGAACTGTAGGGCTAAGTGGATGAGGAAGCTTTGGAGGCAGTCAGAAATGAAGTGGTCAAGGAACTCGGAGGCCTTGTGCATCTCTGTAACCTTGAAGGCCTTAATTTGTTGCAGCTCAGTTCAATATGATGACCCTTGGACTTAAAGAAATGGCTCATAAGCCCTGTCAAAGCACATGACTGGGTTGAGGGCTTAATCCCCAGTAGGGGGCATGCAGGAGGCAGCTGATCAATAGATAAATATAAATTTTTTTGAATCCTCTCTCGAGGATATTTTTGTTTATCTTCAGACAGAGTGGGAGGGAGGGACACATCAACTGGTTGCCTCCCATACCATCCTGACCAGGATCGGGAGGAACTACAATCAAGTATGTGCCCTTGGCTGGAATCGATCCTGAGACTCTGGTCCGCAGACCGATGCTTTACTGCTGAGCCAAACTAGCCAGGGCCAGCTGATCAATATTGATGTTTCTCTCCCATTGATGGTTCTCTCTCCCTTTCCTTTCCTCTCTCTCTCAAATTAGGAAAACCACATTGTTAAAAAATGGCTCACAAAATGGTAAATTCAAAAGCTCCCTTATGTGGAACATGCAATGACTAAATCAAGATTCAGAATTTATTACTGAATTGTAAGATTCTTACACCTTGATCAATAAAAGCAAATAAACAAATAACCATGAAAATTACAGTGTAGCCCTTGCCGGTTGCTCAGTGGTTAGAGTGTTGGCCTGTGGTCTGGAGAGACCCGGGTTCTGTTCCCGCTAAGGGCACGTACCTCGGTTGCAGTTTGTCCCCGGCCCTGGTTGGGTCGTGTGGGTGGCAACCACTCGATGTGTCCCTTTCACATCGATGTTTCTCTCTCTGTCTCTTCCTCTCTCTCCCTCCCACTCTATCTGAACAAAAAATGAAAAAATGTCCTCACGTGAGGATAAAAAAATATATATATGTTAAAAAGAAAATTACAGTGTAGCTTAGCCATGAGGCAGGATGATAGTAGGTAAGATTTAGGCTAAGCTACTTAATAGAGACTCCAAAACATAGTGGTTTTAAAAATGCTTGATTTATATCTAAAATCGTTAAAATTAATTGAGTTTTAAAGAAACATAAGACATAGAGGTAAATAACACCACGAGGAAAGAGACTAATTCAATATGGGATATTTTACAGCCTTGCTATTGAAAGTGTGGTCTGTGGACCTCCAGCAATGGCTTCCCATTGGGAATTTGTTAGGCAGAATCTCAGGTCCTGTGCTAGACTTGTTTAATCAAAATCCACATTTTAGCAAAACCTCCAAGGTGACTCATGCACTGCCCTCATCTCTTAAAACAGCCAGTGTCTTAGAAAAGTAGGGCACTCTTAACTGTCCATCTTTTATGGGAAGAACAGTTGTAGATTAAAAGGTAATAAAGTGACATAACCAATACAAGGTGCAAGCCTTGCTTGAATCCTTATTTTTAAAAAACAGTATAGAAGACAGTTTTGGGTCAGCTGAAGAAATTAGAATATGAGGATATGAGATAATATTAGGGAATTATTGTTAATTTTCTTAGATGTGATAATAGTGATTATATAGGAGGATATCGTTATTCTTAAGAGATATATGCTGTCTGTAACTTTCAAATAGTTCAACAAAAAAAAACATACATGTATATATGCCTCTCTATATGTACATTGATATTTGGATAAAATCAATATGGCAAAATGTTCTTTAGAGATGGAATCTAGATAGTATATTGGGTATTCATTATATTGTTCTTTTAACTTTTGTGGAAGTTTAAAACTTTTCATAATAAAAAAGTGGGGGAAAATGCAATAGCTTCAAAAGATAGAAATGTGTTTCTCTGTCAGTAGCCTAGCTCTCAGGTCACACAGCAAAGATGGGATGACTTTATTGTGCTTGGCACACGACTTCTCTCCCAGGTCCAACAGCTGTACCAACACCTACCATCTCCTAGCTAGTGGGACAGGAGAGGGGAGCACATGACCCAGACGCAGCACTTGTTCCATTGATCAAAACTTGAGTTTTTCACTCACTTAGACAGCATATATCTAGGGAGTAGTTGGTCAAAGTCAAACGTAAAGTGCCATTTGTACACTGGTTTAATAAAGAGTTTTTTTGTTTGTTTGTTTGGTCCCAGCTGACTCTCCCTCCTTCCTCCTCTGTTGACACAGTAGAACAATTAAAATGGAAGTAATTCAGTTTTAATATGCATTAAGTAAAATACATAAAACTTTAGTTTTGAGGATTAAACTATGTTCATTTTCTCCCTCAACCTTTTCAGTGAATAACAGATGCGGGTAAAAGAGCCAACCAAAGTTTTACCTGAGAAAGCCAAAAGAAGTAAAAGGCCCACGATACCTCATGATGAAGACTCTTCAGATGACATTGCCGGTAAATTGGGATATCTGGTCTCCTAAAGAGGAAAAGAAATAACAATATATCTTTTTATTTTGTTTTTCAAGTAGATTTTACATTCAATGTTATTTTGTATTAGTTTCAGGTGTACAACATAGTGGTTAAACATATACCTTTAATTAATAAATTCTTTTCTCTTTATTTTTACCATTTCTGTGTGTAAAAGTCAGCTTGTCTAGTTCCAAAATCTGCGGTTGGTGTTTTTATTGAGATTTTTTTTTAATTTATTTATTTTTATTATTATTTTTTTAATCCTCACCTGAGGAGCTTCCTCCATTCTTTATTCAGACAGAGTGGGAGGGAGAGAGAGAGAGAAACATTGACGTGAAAGGGACACATCGAGTGGCTACCACCCGCATGACCCAACCAGGGCTGGGGACAAACTGCAACCGAAGTACATGCCCCTAGTGGGAACCAAACCCGGGTCTCTCTGGACCGCAGGCTGACACTCCAACTGCTGAGCCAAACCAGCCAGGGCGAGATTTTGTTTAGTTTATAAAGTAATTAGAATGGGCTTATTTTTGTTGTTGCCCTGTTTCTCATGGTCTGTTAGAACCAGCCTTCAAGTCACCAAGGTTGGCAGATGACTCCAGGAGGACATCTGTAATACTTCCAACAATAAAAAGATGTTTTTAATATATTATTTCCATTTTTAACTTGGATAATGTTTCAGGATAGCTAGATTGCTGTATTGAAGGAAGTCTGAATTTTACCTTTAAATGTTCTCTTCTGTTAATATGGTTTTCTTCAGGGATTCTAATTATTTTTATGTTACCTCTTGTTTGCCTGTCTTCCATAGTTACCATTTTTTTCTCACATCCTCTAAAACTCCTGTTTCCTTTTCATTTTGCTTGCTACTTTTATTTTTATCTTTTAGTGTGTTTTCAGTGGTGTCTGCATCACCTTATGGGCTTTAGTTTTGCCTTCATTTTTGTGGTTTTATTAATTTTTTCTTCTACTTCTTTCCTGAACTCTTTCGGATACTTCCTGTTGTTTTGCTCCCTTATGTATTCTCTCTGTTTGCTTCTGTTTTGTGTTTTTATTTCATTGCAGTGATTTCTCTACCACAATTTTCCATTTCCTTTCTTCCTTTGTCTTATATTATCTTAGCATAGAATTTGTGTGCTTGATATTTTCTTTGATTACTCGTTGTTTGAGGTAGGGTTGCTTTTCTTGGGCCAGTGAGTTTTAGAATATGCTAGAATGAGGGCCAGGGCACTGTGGAGACCTAGATGGAATTTTGAGTTTGAGTCATTGAGCCTTTACCTCTTCCCAACCAACAGGATTATGCAGCACTGGGTTTTTTCCAGAATCCAAAGTATCTCTTCTTCCCAACTGCCATAGAAAAAGACTGTTTCCTGCAAATATGGCTTGCTTGTTTGTTTTCCCCCTAGTGAATGCGAATTTCTCTTTTTCTTCTTCTCAAAACAAAATTGGATATAGGAGAGCCCCTGTTGTTGCAGCACAGAGATTTGGATTTTGTTCTGTGTTTGTGAAACATACATCATTCTCTATGAAATTTTTAAATTAATATTTAAAGTAGAAAACATGGAGATTTTGATTATTGTTTTTTATTTGTTAATGTGAAACAACTACAGACTTTAACACATTTTTATATAGTTATTCAGGAATCTCTAGAGGACCTACTTGTCAGATGAAATTTAGATATTATATGATTAAACAAATTATAGAAAACTAAGGAAGTTTGCTTATTAACACAGAAGGAATTTTAAAGTATTTTTTTCCCTCACAAAAAGTAGTTCCATTTAAACACTGGTTAGCTCTTGTGGGAAAACTTCAAACTTTCAAATTTGCTTATACTTATAGAAACTATATATGGTGAGACGTTTAAAAGCTAATAGATTTAATTTTGGGGCCTGGAACCTAGTAAAAAATTCAAATGACTAAATTTTAAAGAACTTACTGGCTTTACCTAATAATTCATGAATTGGTTAGCATCCCATCTAGCAGACAGAAAGGAGCTCCAAGGAGCTCCAAAATGAAAGTCTTTTATAGGCAGAAGGGAGCAGGGCAAGGATGTTATATTAGCAAAAAGTGATTTGTTATGGCAAGATCACCTTCCTTTAAGGGTTGGTGGGGGTCCTAGCAGATGACCTCACTAGTGCTGATCAGGTAATTCCAGGTTGACTGCTTTTAGATTCCATTCCTGGTTTAAAATTCCTGTCCAGAGGTTGCCTCCATTTTGGTTCTGTTGTCTTTTTTTAAACAAGTCTTTTATCTTGAAGTCATGAACAATTTCAGTTTTATAAATTTTATAAATCTGAATTATAGCATCAGAGGATGGTTAAGTTGTCACTTGGCCAGATCCCACCCCAAAGTTGATATAGAAGGTATGTGAAATAATTTTCCCCTTCAAATGTTAAAATATAAAAACTCCAACAGCCCGACCAGTGTGTCTCAGTGGATTGAGCTTCTTCCCGTGGACTTGAGAGGTCTCAGTTCGATTCCCAGTCAGAGCACATGCCTGGGTTGTGGGCTCGATCCCCAGTAGGGGGCGTGCAGGAGGCAGCCGATCGATGCTTCTCTCTCACATTGATGCTTCTATCTCTTTCTCCCTTCCTCTCTTTCTAAAAAAATCAACTAAAAAAAATATACATATATTTTTGACATGTGGCAAAACAATTTCTAGATCTTGAACTTGTGTGATAATTTATCAGTCTTCCCCCAACATCCCTTTCATTAAAGGCATGCATCCTTGTTTTTCAAACAGAGAACTTCAGACATCACACATACTCCTTTATGTCTATTCTTGTAACTTACTCTTGGTGTAAAATTAGAAGTTTCAGTCTTTTATCAATTTGTGCATTATTTTTGTTAGAATTACAGTTTATTATAAGTAACTTGTCAGGAATCACATTCTTGGTCTTCAGGATGAACTGGAAATAATGTTTAGCCTGTCTCTAGTTAACTGGTAGACAAAAAAGAATGCTTTGCATTTAGAAAGTGAAGTGGAGAAAGTTGAAATGTACATACCTCTTCTGTTTTCAGATTACTTCGTCTCTTTGTTGTTTGATTTTGGCAGGTAGTTGTAGGTTTGGTGTTTGGGATATTTAAGATGAAGAAGTTAAAGTGCTCAGGTATTTGGAAGAAATGGAAGTGTCAGTATGTTCTTGGGAGAAGAATATGGTTATTTGAAGAATTAAAAACAGATTTGCTCATTTTGGTCACTTGTCTCCACACAATGCACACAATGGGAATCTGTTATTAAGGATAATTAAGGACCATGCACAATCATTTGTTATTTGGAAATATTCATTAAGGAGAATTCTTATTTTCAAAAATTATGTCATTGTTCTTCTCTCTCCTTTCTCCCAACAATGATAAAAATAGCATAATAGCAAAGCTAGTCTATGTGAAAAGATTTTATGTGTGTATTTTAATTGAAAGAAAATGCATTCAAAATACTAAAGACATTGTAGCTGTTCGAAATGTAATCTCCTTTATTTTACTTATTAAACTTAATTACTTTTTTTTTTTTTATCCTCACCCGAGGATATTTTTCCTTTTTTTTTTTTTTTTGTACAGATAGAGTGGGAGGGAGAGAGAGGAAGGGAGAGAGAGGGAAACATCGACGTGAAGGGACACATCGAGTGGCTGCCACCCGCACGACCAACCAGGGCCGGGGACAAACTGCAACCGAAGTACGTGCCCTTAGCAGGAACCGAACCCGGGTCTCTCCGGACCGCAGGCCGACGCTCTAACCGCTGAGCCAAATTGGCCAGGGCTACTTATTTATTTTTAAATACATTTTTATTGATTTTTTAGAGAGAGAAAAAGGAAGAGAGAGATAGAAACATTGATGTAAGAGAGAAACATTGATCGGCTGCCTCCTGCACACCCCCTACTGGGGATTGATCTCGAAACCTGGGCATGTACCCTGACTGGGAATCTAATCAGGACCTCTTAGTCCATGGGATGGGGCTCAGTTCCCTCAGCTACACTGGCTGGGCAAACTTTTATTTTTTAAATAATTTTCTATTCACAGGAAGGCACAAAGAAATATACAGGGAGGTCCCACTCACCCTTCACCTTACCTCTTCACCTCTCCTGGTTTAACATATTGTATTTCTTTCTTTCTTTTTTTTTGATTAATCCTCACCTGAGGACATTTTTCCATTGATTTTTGGAAAGAAAAGAAAGGAGGGAGGGAGGGAGGGAGAGAGACAGAGAAACATTGATGTGAGAGAGACACATCAACCGGGGCTGGGGATTGAACCTGCAACCCAGGCACATACCCTTGACTGGGAATTGAACCTGGGACCCTTCAGTCCTTGGGCTGACACTGCAGCTGCTGAGCCAAACTGTCCAGGGCAATATATTGTATTTCTGTATTCTACAGTACAGTATCAAAACCAGGAACCTGATATTGGCGCAATCCTTAGAGCTTATTCAGATTGCACCAGATATACCTGCATTTGTGTGCCTGTGTGTACGCACTTCTGTTAGTAGCTTTATGCAATTTTATTACATGTGTAGCTTTCTATAACCACCACAATCAAGATAATTGCCTGTTAATTCACCACCCAAAGTTTTTATCTGTCTATAGCCACAACTCCTTCTCCCCATCTGTAGCCTTTGGCAATCACTAATCTGTTCTCCAACTCTCTAATTATGTTATTTCACAAATGTTTTATAAATGGAATCATGCAATATGTATCCTTTTTGAGTTACTTTGATTAAAAAAAAATCTCAGTGCTATTAGTTACAGCATTTTAATGTTAGTGACATTGCTTGCCGATGGTTTAGCATAGAAAATGCTCAAATTTTGTTTTGTCTGTTTTGTTCAGTAGGTTTCACTTGCCAACATATAAGTCATGCTGTCAGTGTGAATCATGTGAAAAGAGCAATATCTGAGAATCTGTGGTCGGTTTGTTCAGAATGTTTAAAAGAAAGAAGATTCTGTGATGGGCAGCCAGTACTTCCTTCTGATATTTGGTTGTGCCTCAAGTGTGGTTTTCAGGTGAGAAAAGTGTTGTTGTTTTTTATCCTCACTCGAGGACATTTTTCTATTTTTTGTTCAGGTAGAGTGGGAGGGAGAGAGAAGAACAGAGAGAGAGAGAAACATCGACGTGAAAGGGACACATCCAGTGGCTGCCACCCACACAACCAACCAGGGCCGGGGACAAAGTGCAACCGAGGTACGTGCCCTTAGCGGGAACCGAACCTGGGTCTCTTGGGACCGCAGGCCGATGCTCTAACCACTGAGCAAAACCGGCCAGGGTGAGAAAAGTGTTTTTTTTTTATGTGTGAGTTTATCTTAAATATTTTTCTTAATGATTATTTTGAGTTTGACTATTGGTAATGCTTAGAACTTAAGATAAATATATTCCATGTTTTGATGGAACTTCAAGGATGAGCTTAGAAATGTTTAAGGTAAAGTAAAAGGTATGTTTTGTTCCGAAAGTAATCACATGTGGTTTATAAAAACCTGAAAGGCAATCTAGCCTACTCACAATAGTTCTCATATCTAGACCCACTTTTACCTATTTGTATTTTATGATTTTTGAGTTTGAGTATGATTTAAGTTTTGGTTAATTTGAAACAAATGTATATGTACATCATTCAAATAGCCTTCTGTTTATCTTTAGGGATGTGGTAAAAACTCAGAAAGCCAGCATTCATTGAAGCACTTCAAGAGCTGGAGAACAGAGCTCCACTGTATTATAATTAGTCTAAGCACATGGATTATATGGTAAGTTCGGTTTTGTTAGCACTTACCTTTTATTTTTTAGCTTTACCTATAAAATAATTGCAGATATTATACCAGCTTATGCCTTTTAGCCTGAATATAACTTATAGAATAATTTAAGACACTTAATACTACTCATGAATACAAAGTTTAAATAAGAAAAAAAATTGGTCATCCCTCTACTTTTCTTTAACATTTTCTTTGTACAATAAAGAGAAAATCTTTCCAGTTGCTTTTTCATTATGAACTTGCTCATACAGAATCCTGGAGTTCTAGAGAAGCAAGGTGGTTGAAACAGTCAAGTAGTTTGGAGTTTCTCTTCAGGGAAAAGGGAACTTCTTAGGTGATTCTACTATGAAACCTTGCTTGGCAATCAAGTTCAGCTCCCTCACTTTATGTATAAGGACACTGGATATTATTTACCTTTATGTGGTTATAAAACAAAAATCCAGGCACTGAAATAAGTCTTTTGATCCCTAGACTCAGCATACCTACCACTCTGCTTCAGTGGTATGAGTGAACACTATTGAAAAGCTTTCCTTGTATTTTTTTTTTTTTTTAGGTAGAGTTTAAGGGAGGGAAGAAGGAGGGAGGGAGAGCAAGAGAGAGAGAGAGAGAGAGAAGCACTGATGTGAGAGAGACACATGAATTGGTTGCGTCCCAAATGACTCCAACCAGGGCTGGGGATTGAACCTGCAACCCAGGTATGTGCCCTTTGGCCGGGAATCGAACCTAAGACTATTCAGTCTGCCCACTGCCACTCTAACCGCTGAGCCAAACTGGCCAGGGCGCTTTCCTTGTATTTTACAACACAAATTTTCTAACTGGAATTTATAGACTGCTAGGGTTCCTTGAATGAATTTTTAGGAGTTTTCAAGTTTCCTTTAAGACAGAAATATTTTAACTTTGTGTTTTTATTTCAGGGTTTTAAAATTAATATTGGGATATTTTGGCCTGTAGAAGAGATCACCATCTTATAATTTAATTCAGCCACAGGATCCGGTGGTTGCTACATTTGTGTTTCTGTTGTTGTTGGCCCCAAGTAATAGTACTGGGGAGAAGGAGGAAAGAGTAGAGGGAACTTACCATGTCAATATTGCATCGGAGCCAGAGGAGTGGGGGATGATGCCTAGTGTGGCAGCTCAATAAACATTTCTCTGTAGTCTTAAAAGAAGCAATGGTCTCTAACTATGGGGTGTGTCAGAATCAGTGGGAAGGTTTGTTAAAATAGATGGCTGGGTCCCAAGCTTAGATTCTGATTTAGTAGTTTTAGGGTAGGGCCTGAGGATTTGCATTTCTTTCAAGTCCCTAGGTGGTTGCCCATGCTGCTGGTCTGGGGACCATAGTTTGAGGACCACTGAAATAGAAAAAGGTGGTGGGAGAATTGAGTGGCATGTAGGAGAATTGAGTGGCAAGTAGTAGAATAGTCTCAAGTCAGTCTGTGTCAGAATTTCCATTGTAGTTTTTAGGATCATAATGAGAGTCTGATAATTTCAGTAAAAAAGCCTTACCTAATATAATAAATTAGCATTGCTAGTTATAATTAAATTGATTTTGTAATTTTTTTATATTTAATTATATAACTTTGCTTTCATTACAAGGGTGATGACTTTATCGAGTTTTATGAGTGGATGTGTTAGATTTATATTATAATGAAAATATTGTAAATCACATTTGGGGGGTACTAAAAGGAAATTATTTCCCTTTTATTTTTTTATCGTTACCCAAGGATATTTTTCCATTGTTTGTTCAAATAGAATGGGAGGGGTAGAGAGGGAGAGAGAGAGAGAGAGAGAGGGAAAGAAACATCGACGTGAAAGAGACACATTGAGTGGCTGCCTCCCTCATGACTTAACCAGGGCCGCTGACAAACTGCAACCAAGGTACATGCCCTTAGCAGGAATCGAACCTGGGTCTCTCTGGACCGCAGTCCGACACTCTTAACTGCTGAGCCAAACCAGCCAGGGCTTATTTCCCTTTTAAACGAAGAAATTCAAGTTTGTTACATGCATGTATAAAAATTTAAAGGTTGTGGCTATTTTTTTTCCCCATCTAATCCTTAAATGTTAAAAAGTTTAACAATTTCAGTAGAAAAGTTCACTTATTGGGATTAAAGAGAGGCCAGCATGAACTAGGGAAAAACCTAAAAAAGAAAGGAATAATGTAGAGTTGATAATTTAATTATGGCTAACAAAGTGTTGCTAGATAGTGGATTTGATACTGCTTTAACAGATAATAATTGTTAGCACAGTGGTTTCTTAACTCTGACTTCATGTCAGAATCACACTGGTGGAATTAAAAAACCCATAGGTGTTAGTGGCCCCCTATGAACTCAGGACTTCTGTATTTTTAAGTTCCATAGGTGACTCTTTTTGTTTTGTGTTTTTGGTTAATTTCACCCGAGGATATTTTTCTATTGATTTTTAGACAGAGGGGGTGGGGGCAAGAGGGTGGGGGTTGGGGAGACAGAAAGAGAGAGAGAAACATCAATGTGAGAGAGACATATTGACTGGTTGCCTCCCACATGATCCCCGGCCCTGAGGATCAAACCTTCAACCCAGGTACATACCCTTGACCAGGAATCGAACCCAAGACCCTTCGCTCCATAGGCCAATGCTCTAAGTGCTGAGCCAAAACAGCCAGGGCCATAGGTAATTCTTATGCCTCACCAAGGTTAGGGGCACTGGTTTAACACTTAAAGTTAATGTATGGGTGCCCTGGCTGGTTTGGCTCAGCAGTTAGAGCGTTGGCTTGCAGACCGGAGGGCCCTGGGTTCGGTTCTTGCTAAAGGCATATACCTTGGTTGCAGTTTGTCCCCGGCCCTGATTGGGGTCATGTAGGTGGCAACCACTCGATGTGTGTCTCTCACATTGATGTTTCTCTTTCTCACTTCCTTCTTCTCTCCCTCCCACTCTATCTAAAGATAAATGCAAAAAAAAGTGTCCTCGGGTGAGGATAAAAAAAGAAAAAGTTAATGTATGGGTGGGTGACTGCTTTTAAAGTGTCTCAGTTTCTCATCTGAAAAAGAAAATATACTTCTATCAAGCTATTTATTCTTAAAATGATAATACTTTTTTGACTGTTGTGACAGATTAAACTAGAATGCTCAATTACATTTTTTGTTATTTCTAGTGGAAACAAGTAGAATTAAATTATTTGAGCCTGTCTTCTTTTCTCCAAATCCACTGCCATTGTGCAATTTTAATTTACATTTTCTTTTTGTACTCTTAAAGTTACAATATATTTTATACAAGGAAACATTAAGTTGCAAAGTCATTAAAAATTTCTTGACATTTCAGTATTTTGAAAATGAGCAATTATACTATTATTATTATTGGCAATAGTTACATCCATAAATATTGAGCATCTATTATAATGTAAGCCTGGCAACTGTAATTAAATTGTTTAAATTCCATTGTGGTCTATGCAAAAGATGTTTGGGAATGTTTTCTGTGGCTCATTTCCTCCATGGATATATCTATGTATCTATTTCTGTGTGTGAGTGAGAGAGGGGACACTCAGTGAATATTTGACTGAATTTGAGTACTATTTAGAAAAGGAACCTAAGCCTAGTTTACAACCACTGATACCAGGACCACTAATTGTTATAAGTAAGAGATTATGAATATGTAAGTTAGTTTTAGTGTAACACATTACATTTGTAAAGCTTCCATTTCTTTCAAACTGATGTTTTTATCTGATCATTGGCTCTCATGAAGATAAAGGAAACAGGTAATAGTAATATATTTTTATTTTTTTAATATTTTTTGTCCTCACCCGAGGACATTTTTGCATTTATCTTCAGATAGAGCAGGAGGGAGAGAGGGGGTAAGAGAGAGATGGAAACATCGATGTGAGAGAGATACATCGACTGGTTTCCACCCACATGACCCCAACTGGGGCGGGGGACAAATTGCAACCCAGGTATGTGCCCTTAACAGGAACCGAATCTGGGACTCTCTGGTCCGCAGGCCGACGCTCTAACCACTGAGCCGAACCAGCCAGGGCAGGTAATGATAATATAAAGAAGAAACCTTTATTAGTACTGTATGTGCCAATGAGTAAAATCAGTGCAGGGTCATTTTCTGAAAAGGCATTGTTCCCTAACCCACTCTTCCCAAATAAGCCCCAAACAAAACATGAATCTGATCCAGTCTTCCCCATCTTTGTAAGTGGAAGTAAGTATTCAAGCCAGTAGCCTGCTAGTTTTATATTCTTCCCTTTTTTATCTTATTTTATTTTTTAATCTTTTAAAATAGTAGGCAAATAGTATAATGATTTCCTCTGTACTCATCACTCAGCTTTAAACATTACCAACGCACAGCTAATCTTGTTTTATTTAAACCAGGGCCTCTCAATCTCAGTACTAGTGCCATTTGGGCTGGTAAGCCTTTGATGCCGAGGCCGCCCTGCACATTACAGGATGTTGAGCGGTGCCCCTGGCCTCTACCCACTGGATGTCAGTAGCAGCTTACCCAGTGTGACAACCCAAATGGCTTCAGAACATTGCCAGATGTCTCCTGGGGGGCGAAATTGTTCCTGCTTGAGAATCACTGACATACCCTCCTCCACTTCTCCCTTCTCGTGGCAGTTATTTTGACACTTTGCTCTCCCTTATCCTTTAAATCTAATTCATTCATGTTTATACCTGAAAATATATAAATCTGTTCATTTTTCCCCATATCCACTGATCAGCTTATACTCTTTCTTAAGAAACCCTCATGGCCTTCCCTTATATTTAGGATAAACTACCAAACTTTAATTGGAATAGTAAGGCTCTGTGTGAACTGTCCACTGCTTATTTCTCTAGACTTCCCTGTGTACCTCTGTTACTCCCATAATTTAAAGACAAACATTTATAAATGCCAACTTTATTACCTAATGTGCAAAATTATTGAAGATACTTTCATAATATTTGCTTAAATTTTATGTCTTCAGGTGTTACGAGTGTGACGAAAAATTATCAACGCATTGTAATAAGAAGGTTTTGGCTCAGATAGTTGATTTTCTCCAGAAACATGTTTCTAAAACGCAAACAAGTAAGTTCAGCAGTTGCTAAAGAAATATGTATTAAACTACAATATTTTATATTTCGTATGAAGAGTTTGTAAATCCATAAAGAGTACCTTAGATTTATGGTCACCTCTCAGTCCGAGTGCCATGCATGCTTCCATAGCTGCCTTGTGTTGTATTTATACAACAGGAGCTGGTGAGGGTAGTGACTAGATCCTGGGCTTTTGAGTCAGACAGTGCTGAGTTTGAGTATAGGCTCCACCTAAGTTAATTACTGTCATCATGACTTTTACTCCTTAGTTTTCTTAATTTAAAAATTAGATAATAATTCTATTGCGTGCAGTTGTGAGGCTTAGAGATATTTCCTAAAGATTTAGAAATCAATATGTAAAAATATTTTCATAATGCCCGACACATTTATGAAATTATACTGCAGTGCTTGACACTAACTACCTGAAGTTAGGCCGACCTTGCTGAGTAAGGGCTCAGTGCCCCCACCAGATGCCCTTGTTTCACCCACCGTCCTAAGTCTCAGGGTTTCTCAGGCCACCCACAATTCTGAACAACTGGCTACAAATTCAGAGGTTTCTGTTAACCTCTTAGGTTCAGTAATATGCTACAATGACTCAGAGAACCCAGGAAAATGCTAACTACAATTACAGCTTTATTATAGCAAAAGAAAAAAAAAAAAAAGATACAGATCAGGGTAACCAAAGAAAGAGATAGAATGGGCCTGGGAAGGTCCCAAGCATGCAGCTTCTGTAAGTTCTTCCTATGGAGTGAGGATGCATCACATTCCTGGCACACTGATGTGTAACAATACACAGAGTGCTGTTAACCAGGGAAGCTCACTGGAGCTTTGATGTCCAGAGTTTTTATTGGGTTTTCATTGCATTAACTTTGATACATGGTTTAACTTAGTCTCCATTACCCCCAACCCTCTAATCACATGGTTGGTCTTTCTGGTGTGACTGGCTCCCATCCTGAGCCATTTCATTAGCATAAACTGTCTAGGCACCCACAGTGAATATAAAAGACACTTTGTTGATTTGTTAACATAAACTATCAAGTGTGGTCCGAGGGGCCCAACATGAATAAAAAGGACACTTCAATTTCTCTGGATAGGCAAGGATTTAGCAGGTACTTCTCAGGAACCTGGGACAAAGGCAGCCAGGTTCTTTATTATACAATAGTAATGTATTATATATCATATACTTTGTTATCTAACATATAAGCAATATATAATACATGTTAATGTAAATTAAGAGTAATAGGAAAGCAGTTTTTTCACTCAAAAATATTAAGTGCCTACCACCTGCTAGGTTTTAGACTTTATTTGATGTGCAGTGGTAAAACAACAACATGTTATCTTGCCATTTGGGGGTTTAGAGTATAGGGGGGAAACAGACTGAAAAATAAGCAAATATGTAATAACTTTTGATAAGTGCTGCAAAGGAAAGGAACAAATTGTAGTGATAAGTGATAATGTCGTGGTCTCAGTGATCAAGACAGGCCAAGAATAGAATGAGATGAAGTGGTGGGTGGGCAGGTCATGAAGAATACTGTAAGGACTTTCTTGGTAAAGAATTTTTATTTTATTGGAAGTGTAATGGAAGTTATTCAAGTATTTTAAGTGAGGGAGTAATAGTTACTTCATCTGTTTAGAACAAGACTACTGTGCTGTGTGGAGAATAGGCTGTTGGGTGTTAAAGTGAAGGTGGGGGGATCATTAAGCAGGTTAGAGGAGGTTATTGTAGGCCAGGTGAGAGACAAGTAGAGGCACTGGTGTAGGGTCGGTGCAGTAAGATGTAAGGAGTGAGGGGGAGGGGGAGGAATCAAGTACAAACCTCAGGATTTTTTTTTAAATCCTTACCCGAGGATATTTTTCCATTTATCTTTAGGCAGAGTGGGAAAGAGAGAGAGAAAGGGAGACACTGACTGGGTGCCTCTGCATAACCCCGCCCAAGGCCCGGGACCGAACCATTGTGCCCTCGGCCAGAATCGAACCCAAGACTCTTTGGTCTGAGAGCTGATGCTCTAACCGCTGAGCCAAACCAGCTAGGGCGATTTTATACATTTCTTAAATATTTATTGTCATAGGAATATAAGGTAGGGAGCATGGGCTAATATGATAGTGGGCTTTGAGTCAGGTGTCTGGCATTCAAATTGGACTCTTTCAATCACTTGCTGTGTGACGTGAGGTAGGTAGATTACCGTTTGAGCCTTACCTTCCTCAGCACTTTTTCTCTCTTTCCCACAGGGCTTCAGGAAATAGGGCTTGATAAAACAGTTCCTGTCCTAAAGAAGTTTAAGATCTAAAAGAAGTTGTGAAATAAAAAAGTAATGATAATGAAAGCAGAATTTATATTTTGAGAGATGTTTGAACAAAGGATATTCAAAGAGGGGTGTAATGTTCAGTTGAAAGGAATTCAAAAGGAATCTAGGATGAGTTGGCTTTCAAGCTGGCCTTTAAAGGATGAGCTTTGCATAGGTCCAGATGAGCGAAGAAATAATTTCAGGTGCTGAAGGACCCATGTAAGCTTTCATTGTGTTTCAGGAACCATGGGTAGCACCTGGCATGGAGGGAAACAGGTTCTTGAGGGAATTTGAGAGTTTGTAGAGCTTTTAAAGCTAGAGAGAGAAGTAGCTCTGAATTCAAGGTTTTTAGAAGTTCTATGGAAAAATGTGGTTATCTTTGTTTTTCAAGCTACAGGATCTCTCAGGCAAGTTTGATTTAAAATAGGCTCCCTTGGCATTCTAGAAGTAAGTTTTTGGGGATAGTAATTTGCCATATTCTTTCTTGCTTAAAATACTTTAAAAACCAAATGTGAGCCCTGGCCGGTTTGGCTCTGTGGTTAGAGCGGTCCAGAGTCCTGGGTTCGGTTTCTGCTAAGGGCATGTATCTCAGTTGCAGTCTGTCCCCGGACCCGGTTGGGGTTGTGTGGGTGGCAACCACTTGATGTGTCTTTCTCACATCAATGTTTCTTTCTTTCTCTTCCCTCCTCTCTCCCTCCCACTCTATCTGAAGATAAATGCAAAAATGTCCTCGGGTGAGGATAAAAACAAAACAAAAAACCAAATGTGAAAGATGCTATTGAGGTTTATAAGAATGCTGGATATGATTATGCAGCTATTTTAAGTTATTTTTTTTTATTTATTTTATTTATTTATTTTTTATCCTCACCCGAGGACATTTTTGTTGTTGTTGTTGTTGTTCAGATAGAGTGGGAGGGAGAGAGGAAGAGAGAGAGAGAGAAACATCGATGTGAAAGGGACACATCGAGTGGCTGCCACCCGCACGACCAACCAGGGCCGGGGACAAACTGCAACTGAGGTACGTGCCCTTAGCGGGAACCGAACCCGGGTCTCTCTGGACCGCAGGCCGACGCTCTAACCGCTGAGCCAAACCGGCCAGGGCTATTTTAAGTTATAATTGAAGGCTAGAAATGTAAACATGTCTATATTATAATTTAAAAAATACAAAACTATATATTATATTTAGGTGGAAGAATAAAAATGATTTTATTTTATATTTTCCTTTTATTTATTTATTTTTTTAGAGAGAGAGGAAGAGAGAGGGAGAGAGAGATAGAAACATTGATGAGAAAGAACATTGATTGGCTGCCTCCTGCATGCCCCCTACTGGGGATTTGGTCCACAACTTGGGCATGTGCCCTTACTGGGACTCGAACAGGCAACCTCTTGGTGCATAGGTCAACGCTCAACCACTGAGCCACACTGGCAGGACTAAAAATGATTTTAAAAGCTTCTTTTTTATATTTTGGACTAAGTAAAAATAACGACTGAGAGGAAAGCCTGTACATGTATCTTAAACATGTTTTGAAGTTATGCAGTGCCTGAGCTAAGGTCTAATACATCTCTATCAGCTTTCTACGCAGGGAATCTAGGCTGGTGACACATCCATCTCTTAAAAAGAACCGGCTCAGTGAACTTCAGCTTTTGAGTTAGTAGCCCGAGGACATTTTTTTACATTTATCTTCCGATAGAGTGGGAAGGAGAGAGGGAGGAAGAGAGAGAAACATTGACGCGAGAGAGACACATCGAGTGGACACATCGAGTGGTTGCCACCCACACGATCCCAACTGGGGCCAGGGACCCTTAGCGGTAACCCAACCTGGGACTTTCTGGTCCACGGGCTGACACTCTAACCGCTGAGCCAAACCGGCCAGGGCCCAATAGACTCTTCAAAAATTATTGAGGACTTGAAGAGCTTTGGTTAGGTAGGTTATATATCAATACTTATCGTAATAGAAATTAAAACTAAGAATATTAAAATATTCACTGAAAAATAGCAATAATTTCATGACATTTTAATGCAAATAACTTTTGTTGTTGTTAATCCTCCCCTGAGGACATTTTCCATTGATTTTTTAGATAGAGTGGAATGGAAGGAGGGAGCGAGGAAGGGGGGTGGAGAGCGAGAGAGAGAGAGAGAGAGAGAGCGAGAGAGAGAGAGCGCTGAACTTGTTGCCTCCTGCACAACCCCAACCAGGGCCAGAGATCGAGCTTGCAATCCAGGTACCTACCTGCCCTCTGGTTCTCAGGGTTGATGCTCTAACCGCTGAGCCAAACCGGTCAGGGCCACAAAGAACATTTTTAAGAAATAACTATTTTTTTTCAAAATAACACAAACTTAGTAAGTGGCATTGTTTCACATTTTTACAAAACTCTTTAACAGTTGAATTCTCACACCTACTTCTGCATTCAATCTGTTGTGATATCACATGGTGTGTAGCATCTGGAATACTACATTGTATAATTGAGAATGAGTGAAAGTAAAAAAAAACAAACACAAATAACACCTTAGATTTATAAAGTACTTTTGCCCTTAAGGACCCTGAAAGGAAGACGGTGTCTTCAGGAGGGTGTTTTCAGATCCACTTTCAGAACAACTGACCTAGCACATTTTTGTCTATTTTCTGTCTTCAGCCTTATTGCCCTAAGACTTAGCTCAAATCCTACTCCAAGAGCACTTGCCCAATCCTTTGTCTTATCTCCTTTCTTC